GCCTTCTGCCTCACTTCACAGATACCTCAACTGGATCTGGAAGGGTAGTGTGGCAGTGCTCTGAACTGACATCTTTAGACTGGAATTAGGAAATATATTTCAAATGGGAATTCGGAAGGTGAATATTTTGGGGCTCATGAGTTACAATTTCTCAAAGTATGGTACTATGCTATCTGATGGGAAAAGAACAAGCTCTGCCTTATGTAAGTCTGAAATTTTTGCAAAGCTTGGATGAGGATTATGTGCTGAGATGGAGTGTGCTGTGTTGGCTGAAGACATGGCTGGATTTAGGCCTCTGAGGAAAAAAATTAGGTAATGTGGCACACTTCTGGAGGCTTTCCAGCAGCCACCAGAGAGAAAATTGAATCAGCGTGAAAATGAAGGTGTCTAATCACTAATGCCCCAGTCCTGCTCAGGTGCTTTTCTTAATAACAACTCTGTTAAGACTTAAAACACATCTCAGTGTTTGACTGAAATGCTTGTCTGAACTTGAACAGAAGAAGAGGAGAGGTCGGTCTGTGCTTGGGACTCCTTTCTGAAATATTGGGCTTGATGGAAAGAAAGTCCCTCAGACCTGGGAGATGCAAACTACTGTTACTCAAGCAAAGACGTTTTGTGGTCGGTCAGCCTTGGCTAACAGCCCAAGTCCCACCCAGCTGCTCACTCACCTTCCCATTCCCAGTGAAGTGTGGGGAGAAAATATGAAAATACCATGAATGAGACAGCTGGTGGGTTGAGATGAAGATGGGAAATCACTCATTGTTTGTCATCACTTGCTGGATTGTCATCCAGAAATTGAACAGAAATGCCTGGAAAATGAAGGGCTTTCTGGGAAGGAGTGTGGTTGGTAAGATCAGAAATGCTGGCACATTGCTGATGCCTTTCTTCCTGACAGAGGAAAAAATTAGTAATGAAACACAGACGTGCCAGTGGGTATGAAAGAAATGCACACATGAATATAAGCAAGCCAGTGACGGTGAGGTTGAAGATGCAATGCAGATAGCAAATGGGAATTTCCTGTGTGAGCTGGAACAAAGAAGAATTTCTGTGATTGTTGCATTTATGTGCCACCACCATGTGCTGACATTTCTGAATATCATGTTGCCATATTGCTACATATTGCAAGTACTAAGTATATTTACCCCAATTACATTATTATGTACAACTATACTAGTCAGATAAATACATTAGAATTGACAACATTCTATATATATGCTCTTTCTAAAATAGTGCTATCAGAGTAAGCTAATAACCCACTGAAAATAGGCACATATGAGAATATGTATCCATATCCGTCTACACTTAAGTCACTGCTAATTACATATGTATGTGCCTGTAATTTACTGCTGTGGATATACAGGAAGACTTCTGCTCATTTTTCAGAGAAAAGAAAAAAAAAAAAGAAGGAAGCCACTGAGAGAAGTGCTCCAAGTAGTTTCTTACAGATGGTAAAAGAAAATATTAGTAACCATCCATCAAGATTTATATTTGATTTATTCTTACTTAAGCTTTCAATTTTAAAGTACCACTAGAGGTGCACCCACACAGGGATGGCCTAATGCTCTTTTTATTCCTGTCACCATTTCAGTGCAAGTAATGAAGTACTATGGGTATAGATGACTCTTTGAGGGCACAATCCTTCCTTTGGGAAACATCCTGAAGACTGGAAGCATCCAGTCTTCATTGGAATCACTCCGAAGAGAGCTGAAGATGAAAACAAGCTCAGAAAATGTGAAACAGGAGAGGAAGGTCTGTGTCTTGTACACTTGTGGGTTTTGATCAGAACCAGATGGCCATCAACAGTCACCGAGGAGCCAGAAAGCAGGATGCAAACCTTTCCACGGACATCAAATAGCAAGGAGAAGGGGTTGTTTAGAGACTGCACTGCTAACAATATGCATTTCACTGTCTGCAAATCTCAATGCACAATCAATAAATTCAGCTGACACTTTAGTGAGGGTCATCAAATCAAAGCATAATTAAAGCATTCTTAGTTTCCTCTAAAATAGATCTCATGCAATAGTATGTAATAACTATGTTCTCTATGCTGAGAGTAATTTTCTTTACTTTTTTTTAAATACCTTGGCATGATAGCAAAACCTGCAAATCTTAAGAACTGCAAAAAGAGTTTGCTACAGTTTCTCTTATTCACTTCAGCGGACAGCTCTTTTTCTCAAAATTGGAATCAGAAATGAAAGAAGATGGGATCAGCCTCATCTGAGGGTGAACTGAAGTCAGAGTGGATGTGACCCCTATACAGGAACCAGCTGATTTCCTCGCCTCCATTTTCACCAGAGGATGCTGGGAAGAGGCTTCCTCAGTCTTTTTGATTATGGAAGGAAGAACTGAAGAAGTCACTGTAAGAGACTGAAGAAGTCAAGAGAAGATGTGTTTGTCAAACTATTTAATTTGAGGTAAGGAAAGCCACCAATTTTCTGGATTGTGCTAATCCAACCTTTAAGTGTATTCCCAGTAAATTGGCCGTCTTTCACACTATACCCTAAGGGACTGGCAAATGCCAAATATTTATTAAAAAAAAAAAAAAAGAAGTCAAGGTAATTAAAAAAAAAACCTGAATAATAATGACTTCGGCAACTGTGGGCCAGTAATTCTCTTTTGGAGACCACAAAGAGTAGACATGCACTCTTTCATGTCTCATATGTCACTCTTTAAACAGAAGTCTCCCTATGAAAAATGGGAGCATGCCAGCCATTTTCCCCCTAAAATGCAGTCAGCAGAATGAGCAGGATGCTGCCCCACATCATTCCTTTCTGTACAAGGTCATACTCACAGATCAGCACTTTTCCTCCTTTACACATTGCTCCCAAAGAGTGATGAGGACAGTGAATGGCAGCACAAATTCATGAGTGTTTCTGCATGTGGGAGGATGAAGGCATCTCTGAGGAGTCATTCGGAGTCCCAGCAAGTGCTGAGCCAGCATCTTGGGCTTGATACCTCACCTTTTCCTTAATGCTAACTGCAGAAACTCTCCGACTTACTCTCAATAAATGGGTCTTAAAATCTTTTATATGGGAGAAAAAATTTAATAGATGATATCTTGACTGATTCAAGAAAATACAATGGAAATCTTTTTTCAGATGCCATGTGTCCTGAATTTAATTTCAAATATATGATCAAAGTACTGTATATAAAGATCCTTCTAATAGTGGATCAAAGGATAAACAGAATGACTCTGCTTCCGAACCATTTTTTTATCTGCATAATTAAATCAAGGCTTTGGATAGACATTTGTTGAAAAAGGCATCATTTTTGGATGTATAATTAGAAAGGAATGCAGAGTAACCCCAAACCTAAGTACAAATCTGTCTCTTGTTTGGGATATGGCTGATTTAATCTTGCTTTAAAACTCTTGCTTATTCCTAGGTCAGTCTGATGACTTTGACTAAATGTATTTCAAACTTTTTAAGGTCACTGTGAAAGAAACAAATGGAAAATAAATACTTACATGGTGTTTGCCAGCATCCACAGCAGAAGTTGTTCTGATTGCCTCTGTCATCTCTTATACTCTTACCTATGTTTATTTGTTTATTATTGCAATGATGCCAGAGACAGGGAGCCAGTTTTAATAAATCATCTCCATAATAGCACGTATATAGCCTCTTTCCCCCCAAAAAAGAAAAAAAAACTAAAAAAAAAAACTTCAGACAATTAGAAAATCTTTAGAAGTTCCCCTATTTAAAAATTCAGTGCTTGAAGAATTGCATTACAACAGTTCTGCCTGTTATTGGACTGAGTTTGTTCATGCTGTTTCTTGAGGAATGGTTCATGTTGACACATGTAAGGAAATCATGACCATGCTTTAATCCCATCAGTGTATATGAGCGCTCTTGGCTGACAGACACTTATTTTAGTTTCTGCAACATGTAGACATGTCTCATAAGGAAAAGTGGCTTGCCTTGTCTTTGTGAAGAGCATCAAGATGCCTGGATGGTGCTGGTGGGATGGAGCATGGAAAAATGGCAAGGGCGGTGCTGTGGTGGAGCAGCTCCTAGCAGTGCTTCCCCTGGTGACAAAATTCTCACTCTCTGCCTGAACAATTCAAAGCAGATTAGGCAAGTAATCTTTGCAGTTTTAGTAAAAGGGAAAATCCCCCCAAAATGCTTTTCTTAAAAGCCTCTAGCCAAGATTGCTTGGGAATTATGAGATCAGTCTCAACACACATTTCATTTTCAAAAGCTAATGCATAAGTCAATCGTGAGAGAAAAACTGTTCTGAAAATCAAAGATGTTAAAGGCAAAGGTGTTCAAGGCCAGATCGGATGGGGCCCTGGGCAGCCTGGTCTAGCATTGAATGTGCAGGTTGGTGGCCCTGCATGTGGCAGGGGGTTGGAGATTCACGATCCTTGAGGTCCCTTCCAACTCTGGCCGTTCTGTGATGCTGTGTGTTTGCTGGCCATCTGGTGCATATTACACCAGTGGAATGGTTAATTCTTTGAATCCTACTGATGAGAAAAACTTATATAAGTAGCTCCTATTCAGTTTCTCTGCAATGTCAAAATTCAATCCTCTTACTATAGTGGAAAACTGCATTGCAATAGACGATAACTTAAAAGATTATGAAGAAAGTATTTCACTAAGGCAGACATAGCATACATTTCTATTCTTACATTCCGTTAAAGTGTACATGTGTGATTTGATCTAAGCATAGCAAGTGTTCAGGAGCACGGACTGCTTATATCACATCTGTTGAGGACCTTCATCTCCATTTCAGCCTTCAAACTACTTTATCTACACAATGAGAATCATGTATGTTTGGGAAACCAGCCTCGGTGTTTCTGAGATTCCCCTTCACCAAGTTATGGTTGAAATCCCAGATGCAGTGTAATGGAGGTTGTAGGGTAGCTGTTAGGTCAGGGCTTGAACTGGTGATTGAGCACCTGGTGAAGGGGTGTGGCTGGCCCAAGGAGCACAGGCACATTGTTAGCAGCTGTGCTCCCTGACCAGAAGGGTTGGACTCAGAGTGGAGCCACCCAGTGCTTGTATAAGGGCAGCCATGGAAGGGAAGGCATCTCTTGGGCCTTAGCTGCTTTCTGGGGAGGAATGCTGTATTTCTAGAGAGCGCTTCTGCCAGTGGGGTGAGTGCCATTCTTCTTTCTGTAAGAGACTGTTGGCCTGCCTGTGAATACTTTATCTGCTATTGCCAAGGATTTGTCAGAAGCAATTTTGCTTCTTTGTGAGCAGAACAGAGACTTGTATAATTAGAGCTCAATGATAGACTTTCTGTTTCCATATATGCTTCACCCCCATCATGCTAGGCTCCATGAGGGTTATCCCAGTTGTGGCTCTGGTTCTGGCTTGCTCCTTCCCCTGTTGCTCAGGTCCTTTTGTTCTACTTCAAATGCTAAGCTGTTTATCACTGCAATGCAATAAAGGAAAAGTAGAGGAAAAGGGGGGAGGGAAATAAGCTTTTGCTTGAGAAAACACTCTGGTCCAAAATCCAAGGAAATCACTGATTTTATGTGGCTTTATTGCGGTTCCTTTTTCAGTAGGATTGCAAACCTACCTTCATGATATGGAAGGAGGAGAATTACCTGGGCCTTCATACAGGATGTGTGAGGCTCCCAGTGCACCCAACAGGTGCTAATGCATGAGATTTCCAGTCTTATATCTAATGCTGACAGTACAGAAGTTGTCATATGCTGTTCTCAGCATAAAGGAAACTTTAACATGAACATAAAAGGAGATGAAAGTATTGGTTTATTTCTAAACATTCAGTTATGATTCCTGTTCAGCAAGCATGATGACATGTATATGTATTCAGACATCAGCAGTATCTGTTTCCTCATGCATCTAAAGCACCAGAAGGATGCTTAGATGCTGCATCCTAAATGAAAGGTTACTTAGATCTTTGGTTCTTACAGAAGCCTGTCACTTTCTTGATCTAATAAATACTTAATGCTTTTACACTTTCAAAAAAAACTCAGTGTAGAACGTTGGATTTATGAGTGTGGGTGTGTGGTATTAGAAGGAGAAACATTTGTAAAAGCAGAACACATGGGGAACCTACAAATAACAGCTTTTGCATTCAGTGCAGTTCGCTTATTTTTACAGCATTTCCCACTCCAGTTTCCTTCCCCAGTAATCCCAAGGTCAGCACCTCACATCTTTGAGCAGCAGGTCACTTCACCTGCTTACTGCTATCAGAGATGGAAAGTGGTTTTTTAATGCTTACTTCAGATTTATTTTTCTTTAACTTCAATTTTGATGCTCCTTATCCAATCTTCTGCACTGGAGCTAAAAAGGAGGCTTCTCTTATCTCAGTTATTTATGATTTTGGTCATTTCTATTAAATCTCTCCTTATGAACATAGTTTTCTAACTTGTTCTCATAACTCATTTCTTTTAATCTCAGGATTAGCACTGCCCTTCTTGGTCCTTTCTGACTCAGTTTCAAGAGCTACACTTGCAGTGTTTCCTGTGGGGGATTTCTAAGTCAGTTATTCCTTTTTTTTTTTTTCCCACATAAAATTTTTGTAAGTAAAAGAAGGAAATCATGGGAAGTGTCTGAGCAGCACTAAGGCCAAACATAACTTCCATTTATTTTATGATTTCTATTAACAAAGATCATGTGTGAGGAAATGTCTTTAGAGCAAGCAGTTTAAATATTCAGTTTTTTTCAAATCAAGTGCCACTTGTTACACTTGTTTGTTTTTGCTTGTCTGTTTTTAGGAAAGCTAGTGCTAACCCAACGTTTAGGTTGAGTGTTACACATTAGCATTTATAAGAAAGTCAGATGCCCCCTGTTGTCAGTGTTGGGCTTTTGAGCATCTCACCTGAATAAGAAATAAGGGTACATATGCTCTTTTCTCTATACTTCTGCCCATGAAAATTCATTTACACTTAGCTGAGATATAACCTGCTATGTTGCTTTCCTTTGCTGCCACTCTTCTGGAAACCAGAAGATTATACCAAAGCATTGTACCGAAGATCTGTGAGGCGGTCCTTGAGTAGCAGGAAGACCATAGCTGATTTACTATGGGAAGCTTCCCAGTAAAGATAGCTAAATGCTTCTGCCTCTTGTAGTTGGATTTACAAATTCATACAGTGCTGTCTTTCACTATCCCTTCCTTGGATGTTTGGGTCCTTCCTCCCAGCACCACTCATCCTCTAGCCTTCAAATCATTTTTGCTAATGTCTGTTTGAACTCAGAGTAGTGTTTTATAGTGTACAAATCACAGCATAAGATAGAAAGGCACCCATTTCTTCACTTGACTTGTTGAGCCTTGAAGATAAGAAATCTAAAAGCAGAGTTCTTCCAGCCCTGTGCAATCTGACAGGCTTGTTTCTTCTTCAGATCTTCCCAAGCAAGTGAATATAGGGATGATAGGTAGAAGGCATCCAAAGGGGGAACTGTAAAAACTCTTTGTGTCCCTCACTGGACTTCATTCCCTTTAACCTTATCCTGCATCATGGTTGTAGGAAAATCTGTCTTATAAGCAGCACTGCTGCTGAAACCATGGTTTGGCTGAGCAGGAAAACTTTTTAATATATGTGCTCTTTGTTTGTTGGAACCTTGGTGTGTTAGTCAGGGAAGTAGCAATTTGGAGCAGTTGTGAAATAACTGAAATAATATGAAAGATAATTTCTCTGCCTATCAAAGCATTTCTAGGTTTCTGAACTATATTTACATTTTTTACTTCATAAAGAATAATTTTTGTTCAGTTTAGGTCTCTTCTTTACTTGTCTGTGCATCCAGGCTGTGACTTTTCCTTTAATCATGTTTTCTTAGTACTTTCCTTTCCAAAAGAAGCTTTATAAAATCTGCTTCTTACCAGAGAAAACACACTTTATAAATTCCTGTAACAAGCCTTATTCCCTCTCTTCTAACATCTCAGTAGAGAGAGCCGGAATACTCTGGTAACTAGTGCTCTATAAATACCTTTGATGATAGATAAATTACCAACTGCTGCACACTAGAGAAAGTTTCACTTGTGCTGTGCAGCCAAGTCATGCCAAAATAAACACTCGCTTGCTGGTGGATTGAAATACATCATAAGGATTTGGTTTGCCAACTATTGTCTCATTTATTTTCTTTGCCTAAGCAGAGGGATAGAAATATAGTAATTCTTGTTGATAAATGCCACTTCACAGTGCTGACTGCTGTAGTTTCCAAGGACTCTCATTGCTGTATAACTGCTGCCAGTTTTGACAAATAGTATTTGATTAATGAAAACTCTTTTTTTTCTAAAGCAAAATACTGGGAAGCCCCTCCTCAGTTAGGGGAGGAGAAAGCTCAGGGGTTGTGTTGGCAGAGATTTTACAGAACCATGAAGGTGCCAAGCATTCCAAATGCAGCACTGGCAGCTACCAAATATCATTGACAGAGGTATGGCTGAAACAAACAGATCAGTTGAAAGCAGCTGTACAGGGCTGCTCTGAAGGCAGGTGCTGAGCTCTGGGTTGTGTCACCAGTAAACGTGCTAGAGATGTCTGCAGGTTGAAAAAGGATTTAGACACCTTATGGCCAAGAAGTATCTAAAAAGATGCTAGCATTGTCAAGTCTCACAGGCTGCCATGAGGAGCTTCTATGGCCATCACTGGGCTAGTTGCACCGTTGGTCAAAGTCAGCAGTGCATTATGTCCTTAAATGTGGAAAAAGCAAAAGATGCTGCAGGTGCCTGCACAGAAGGCTTTATGTCTTCATGGTGTGCAGGAGAGGGAATTGGACTATCAGCATGGAGGATGAGAGTCTGAAACTGTGTGGTAATAAGAACACTTCCCAATACATATATCGGCTTTCCCTGAATCTTGACTGTTTACTTCATGCAATTTTATACAGATATGTTTTTATTGCTGTGAATTATAACGAGGAGTTCTTTTCAAGTTATTTTCTTTGTTTTGCATATATCTTCACATGGTTAGTGACCGTAGCTCATTAAGAAACCCAGCAAGGCAGTTTAAATTGTGTCAAATTGTGCTGCATTATCTTCCAGCTGCCTTTGTCTATAACAGAATCTGTTTCTGTCTATTTTCTTAGAAATCTTTAGAGATTCAACAATAGCCATCAGATGTGAATATAATTGCAAGAGCCCACTTCGTTTACAGTTCCCTTCCCTCTATTTAGAGCTGTTCTCAGTGGGAGGTTTAATTTAGTTATCACTTTTTGCTGAGGAAAGCACATTTTTAGGTTTTGCTTTTATTTTAAAGCAAGTTTGCATCCTCTCCTTGCTGAATCTAAAGCACAGTCTGTGTTCCTTCCTTGTCATTCATCACACCCTTAACAGTGAGAAACCAGAGACAAGCTCCTCTGGGAGACATCTGTGCAAACATCATTGCTGCATTTCTATCCATCAGGTTTTAATCTGGACCACTGCTTCTTCCTTCTGTCTTATGTTTCTCAGGGCCTGTGCAGCAAGTTCTGTTTTTTTATTTTTGTTCTCATCATAAACTGCCCAGAAGCCACTGTCATTGACTGAGACCCCATTGAGTGGGAGGCAAGAGACAGCTGAGGTCTCAAAAGGTTTATTTCAGGAGTGGACTTGAAAGAACTTGTGCCTTCCACACTTTAAGTAAAAATCAATATGCTGTGTATGGCTGTCTGATTCATAAGGGGCAGTCAGGATAAGTTCGGTCTTGTCCCTCAAAGTAGTTGCTGAGGTGAAAATAATCTCTTGTCTGTAATGACAGAGAAAGGAGTCCAACAAATTGATTGTGCTCCATTTATAAACAAAATATCTTCAGTATTTTTAGTGTCTAACCTAATATTGAAAATACAGTAGTGTTCAGAGGAAGAAGCGAGGAGTGGGTCTTATGTTTGTCCTATATAACAACACCAAACAGTCACAGCCTGTAGAGATGACATCTTTCCTCAGTAATATCTAAGTGTTTTTGTGGCAATGTCTAAATGTTGAATGTTGGAGAAACAAAGACGAAAGTTGTATTCCTGTTCAGTTAGATTGTCAGAAACACTGATGTCCCATCTTGCATTAACTTCATAAGGAATTTCAGCATCTGTCTAGAAACAGCCAGTTAGGGGTTCAACTTCTCAGCCAGACCAAACTCTCATCGACTGCTGAAATAAATTCAGCAGCATGCAGCTCTCACCAGTTTCTATTGTGAACATTTTCTCTCCTCTT